ATTGAAGTTACCGAAAGCGTAAATGTCGATGTTCTTCAATCCCAGTAAGCTCTTCTTCCTCAGCCCGACGCCGAGTAATCGCCGGGAATCTCCGATTGTAGCGGGAAACGAGAGTCCGGTCTTAGGTTCGACAACGGATTCGGAGCTAGAGTCGGCTAGAGTTATAGATCCCCATAACAGAGAAGAACGATGAGTGGAGAAGACCCAATCCAGAATCGGATTTCTGGGATTCCGCGACGCCGCGATCGCAACTCCCGCGGCTGCTGCTGCGGTGACGGTGACTGCGACGGCGAATCCGGAGGATGACGTGGCATGCGGTGGTTTGGGATTTAAGGGCTGAGAAAACGAGAAAGGGAAGCGAAACGAAACCATGTTAGAGTGAGTGTAGAGTTAGCTCACTCACTTTCTTCTCTCTCTCTTTTTAACAAACATAAAACACAGTTTACACGCCATTGATATGATTCATCGACAACTACCGCTGGTTTCACTGACACGTGTGTTGCACGTGACCTCGACTCTTACGAACGGCTTCTAGATTGGGCTTCTCTCTATTGGGCTTCTGTTTATTTTCCATATATCCCCGTTTTCAAGGCATGTTTGTATTATTGACATAACACTTTTAATGTAAAAAAGAAATACTATAAAAATCACTTTTTGGATACGTGACAAAGTAACATTGGTTTTGACATATGTTAGATATTATGATGAAAAGATTCCCTCGCTAAAAAAATATCTCGAACAAAAACACGAGTAGGAAATTAGTGTTGGGCCTGGACCTGCGGCCCACCATTCTGAACAGTTCGCAAGATCCAGATCGCCAAAAGCCCGACGGGCTGCCAGAAGCCCATTCCAAACTTTAACCGCGGTTTGACTACACCTAGGAGATAACCACGGTCAGCTGAACTCGAGCTAAACTCAACACCGTTCACTATAAATAGACGACACGGGACAGTACAGGAGAGGATGAACTCTTCCCTCAAGAAATACCAGTACCACTACTTGCCAGTCCGCTAGATTGTAATCTTTTATACTCAACATCTAGTGGTTCGAATTTCACCAATCCACCGCGATCTCCGACCTAGAGAACTGATAGCCCGGGTCTGTCCGGACTATTCATAGCGACCTATTTTTACTTACCTCTCTTTGACTCAACTTTCTATACACGGAATTCTCCGACCTCCGATCTATTATAAATTCATTGTCGACCTGCTGGATCAACAATTAGCAAAAAGGTTTTTGACTTGGTTTCATCAAAAGCCAATTAAAGATTTGGAGGATATAATGAGAGGTCACCTATTTGCGTCTTATCTTCCTTGTTCGATTGAGGTTCATTTAGATATTGCAACCAACCAAAACTTTGTTTTCTAGCAAGAAGCCCAAGTAGGCCCATTTTCCACTTATCAAATTCTGACCGTCGATTATTCCATCTAAGACGCGATCACTCGATATTTTTGGAAATGTATCGCTACTTTTTGTTTCCTTTAAAGTTGTT